TACCGGGAATAGCACTCTGTCTAGGCCGAGCTGCCAAGGCTTGCTCTGGAAGGCTGTGAACTCTACAAGTGTGGCTGCAACAGAGCTCGGCTGGTTGTCAACACTGTCCTAAAAATACAATGGTGAATCCATTTCCCAGCGTCTAGAGTGGCCCCTGTGATGACTTACCAGAGATACAAACCACTTCCCTTGTCAGGATGTCACTCACCGAAGGCTGAGCTGCCTTTTAGTAAGCAGAGGAGAGCATTTGCCGTGGGCTGTCTCCATGCTGGTGGAGTAGCATCTGGTGAAGGGGAAAACAGTAGGTATGAGGGGCAGGGCCCCTGCTTACACCCGTGCACACGTTGCTTCCTAATGGGGGTGGGGGAGTGTTCTGACAAGCATGAAAAAAAGCACCAATTAGACTATAGATCTTATGCATTTTAAGAGATGAGGGGTGGGAGCAGTTTTGTCTGCTGTGAGTATTTAGCATTTAGGAATAGGAGGCAAAAGGACCAGAGGCTATAATGGGTACATGGTAATCTCCATAAGCCTCTCATAGTCTATTCAGGATAAAAGTCACGGTTTAAAAGTAAAATGAACATGACTGTACTATTTACTGTGGGTTTTATTTTATAATTTTGTTTTGTTTTGGTTTTGGTTCTTTTGGTTTTTCAAGACAGTTCCTCTGAATTGCTTCAGAGATTGTCCTGGAACTGCCTCTGTATTCCAGGATGGCCTTGAACTCACAGAGATCTGCCTGCTTCTGCCTCCCGAGTGCTGGGATTAAAGGGGTGTGCCACCAATGCCTGGCTATTTTATAATTTTTTTAAATTGTAATTAATACAAACTTTTCATATTTGGGGAAGGTCATGCTACTTCATACATACAATGTGTAATGATCAGACCAGATTGTCAAATCTGTCACTCAGCATTTATCACTTATTTGCCCTGGGAACATTCAGATTCCTTTAAATTGCCTATATCCTTTTCATTCTTGACGGGCAGTAAGCAAAATGTAGATGGCAGCTCTATTTTCTGTCCCCGTGAAAGCACTTTTATGTTGTGAAACTATACTGCATTTATCAAAATAAGCAGTCACCGCTTGATATTTACCAGCTATTACCTTCAAGTAGCATGCTATTAAAAAAAATAAATGCCATGACATGCTCGGAATTGGAATTATAAAATATTCTGACAGATTCTCAAAGCCCAGAATTCTACTTTTTAATAAAAACCAAGAACCGATTTAAAACCTAAAATATGCATCGCACTTATGCAGCACCCTGCCTGTTGTTACATCTCCATAGCACTTCTCTCTGTGGTTTTGTTTTTGCATTTTTCAAAGCTGGGCACACTTTTAATACCAACACTTGGGAGGCAGAGGCAGAGGTAGGTGGACCTCTGTGAGTTCACACTGATCCACATGTTAGGTTGCAGGCTACCAGAGCTACATAGTAAGACTGCCTCAAAAAACAAAGAAAGGTGTTTTATTTATTTATTTATTTATTTATTTATTTATTTATTTATTGAGAGAGACAAAGCATTTCATGTAAGCCCAGGTTGGCCTTAAACTCGCAGCCTCCTGCCTCAGTTTATCAAGTTCTGGGATTACAGGTGTATAGCACCATATTGAGCTGTGTTTTTCTCTTAGAACAATAATAGACTCCTGTAAGATGCTTGGCTAACAGGACATGTGCAATATTTATATATTTGTTCATTTAGCACAGTGGTTCTCAGGCCTGTGAGTTGCAACACCTTGAGGGTCCATTGATCCTTCCACAGGGGTCACCTCAGCCCATCAGAAATCACAAATTTTACATTATAATTCATAACAGCAGCAAAATTACAGTTATAAAATAGGAACAAAAATAAGTTTTTGTTTCGGGGCCACCACAACATGGGGAACTGTTATTAAAGGGTCCAAGCGTTAGGAAAGTTGAGAACCGCTAATTTGGCAGTATGTGTTTACCTCTTTCTGTGCTGAGCCACTACATATGTACTTTGGGGACAGGACAATAAGGCATGTCCTCTTTACTTCTACTGGAGTTCAGTGGGGAAAGATAAGTTAAAACTAGACAGAAAAATGACAGACTTGTGTGATGAAAGAGACACTGTCACCCACATAGACTCATCCAAATTATTCAGTTGTAGTTGATGAGCTAATTTGAGATGTTTCTTTCTACACCTTAGAATTTCATACTGACTTATGTTCCATAATTAACTTGAAGTTTTTAATTTTATGTGCATTAGTGTTTTGCCCTGGGAAGTTTCAGGTCCCCTGGAACTGAAGTTATAATTGGTGTGAGCTGCCCTGTGGGTGCTGGGAATTGAACTGGGTCCTCTAGAAGAGCAGCCAGTGCTCGGAACCACTGTGCCATCTCTCCAGCCCCTGGCCCTCTTTTAAGACAGTTTCTCACTGGCCTGGAGTTGGACAGTTAGGTCAGGCTGACTGTCCAGTGAGCCTGGGAGATTGACCTGTCTGCACCTCTCCAGCACTGAGAAGTGGGTACCACCCTGCCTGGATTTTTACCCAAATTCTAGGATTCCAGCTTGGTTTCTCATGCTTGTAAGGCAAACACTTTAAGGATGAGCCGTCTCCCTAGCATGGTTCTTGATTTTTGGTTTTTATTTGCTTGCTTTTTTTTTTAGATTTGTTTATGTGTGTGAGTGTTCTGTAGGCTTGTATGTCTGTGCACTACGTCTGTGCAGTGCCCTTGTAGGCCAAAAGAGGGCGTCAGATCCTTTAGGACTGGAGATGTATATGGTTGTCAGTCATCATGTGGGTGCTGAGAGCCAAACCCAGGTCCTCTTCAAGAGCAACGAGTGCTCTTGGCCACTTAGCCATTTCTCCAGCACCCCCGTCCTTGTTCTTGACCGAGAAAGACTGCTACCTGAACCCTGCCTTTCTTTCTCTCCTCTGTTGTGCTTCCACAATATTAAATCTCCAGTCTCCTTCATCCCCGTCCCTTTACCCTTCCTCCGAAATCATGAGCCAATGCTGTTCCGATTGGTGGATGTACAGTTGCCATCCAGATGTTTGACTAGGAAGTAGAATTGCTCTCTGTGCCAGTTGTCTTCTAATGAACTCTCACCCACTGAAATTTGCTGTCTTTGGAAGATCTCGCCATTGTCCCAGCGCTAAAGCCCAAAAGCCCCCAAATTAAACCATGCACCATTCAAGTGTTCTACAGAAGTACTCACATCTAAAATAGGTAACCGGCACTCACCCCACTCCTCATTGTTGGCTAACTGACTTGTCCCATAAATAGCTCAGTGTTACTTGATCAGACAGCCACCGATCACAGGGAGAGATCTTTGTTTCCTGGCACATGTGTGCAGTCTCTGGTAGTCAACAAAACCCAGGTCCAGTGCACTGGACCATGGCTGTAACCTAGTCCTTAGCAGGTTCGTGCAAATCAGAGCTAAATCATGTTCAGATGGGACTCAAGATGTCAAGTCCCACACTGCAGACAGCAGCGTTAGAGAAAGATGGGGGTTTTATGTCTTCCTCATATGACATTGCTTCTCCAGTCTGGGCATCCCAGGAGGTCGCTGCCAATGCTTTCAATTCCCAGGTCTGTCTGAAAAGGATCCCAGTAGTTTCATAAAGCCGTTTTATGAAGCTTGTTTTCATTGGTGTTGTTTGGGTTTTGGTGTTGTTTCATTTAGACAGAGACTCAGGAAGCCCAAGTTGGCCTTGAACTCTTGATTCTCCTGCCTTCGCCTCCTAAATTCTAGGATTACAGGCATGCTCCACCAGCTTTTAACACAAACTCCCTGTCCCTGACTCCAGTGGCTCAAGCCTGTAATCCTAGGTTAGCAAATTCACGCTTTTAGTCCCAGCACTCAGGAGGCAGAGGCAGGTGTATCTCAGTGAGTTCGAGGCTAGCCTGGTCTACAGAGCAAGTTCCAGGACAACCAGGACTGTTACATAGAGAAACCCTGTCTCAATAAACCAAAATAAAATAAGATGGCAAGTTTAAGTCCTGCCCCGACTACAGAGTGAGTACATAGTCAGCCTAGACAACTGAGTGAGACGCTGTCTCCAAATAAACAGTTAAAAGATGGCTGGGCATATTGATATAGCTATGGAGTACTTGCTGGCATGGTCAAGGCCAGAGCTTCAATCTCCACTACAAAAGTAATAACAAACCCCACCAAAAGCCTGCCCATTCCTCACCAGTAGAATACAACAGTCCTATTTATTTATTTATTTATTTATTTATTTTGGTTTTTTGAGATAGGATTTCTCTGTGTAGCTTTGGAGCCTGTCTTGGAACTCACTCTGGAGACCAGGCTGGCCTCGAACTCACAGAGATCTGCCTGCCTCTGCCTCCCAAGTGCTGGGATTAAAGGCGTGTGCCACCAATGCATGGCTTTTCAGCTCCTTTTCAAACAGCGTGTTCTCCCATCTCATAAAGCCCAAACAGCAAATCTGAAGCTACATTTCTGATCACTCTGCTAATTATTCCTGACGATTGTAGAAACCCTGCCTAGCACCCATGGCAGTTTCAGACAAAAGTAAAGACCAGGACTAGGATATCAAAGCTGTTGGCCATGCTGTCCCTAAAGCTGCTTTTACGATTTTGCCTTTTGCACTACAACAGTCAACATTTCATAGGCCTATCTGGGGCCCCTTCCCATGGCCGTGCTGAGTGGCTGTGTTTTTAAAGCCTTATGAAGCTCTAGAGAATATTGATCTGGGCAGGTGACATGGTTTGGTGGGGAAAGATGGTTGCTGAGCAACCTGGCAACCCAAGTTTGATCCCCAGAACCCACATAAAGGTCCAAGGAGAGAACGGTCTCCACAGAGTCGTCCTCTGACCTCTACACATTCACCCTGTCATGTGTGCACCCACGCGTGTCACACACAATAATAAAGAAAAAACCATTTTAAAAACTGACCTTTAGCATACCTGTGCGTATTTACTCCAGTGGCTTTGAATGGGGGTGGGGAGTGGGGCTGGAAACAAACAAACAAACAAACAAACAAACAAATCAAGGCCTTTGTCTAACAGGCTGTGAACCATGGCAATGTGGATACAAGCTCAGCAGCTCCAGGGCGATGCCCTCCATCAGATGCAGGCCCTGTATGGCCAGCATTTCCCCATCGAGGTGCGACACTATTTATCCCAGTGGATCGAAAGCCAAGCCTGGTAGGTGAACAACGGCTTTTACACCATGTTTTGGGAAGCACGGGATACTGATTAGAAAGATGTTCTGAGACTTTAAAAGCTATGTGTAATGGGGGCCTAGTGGTCCACACCTGTAACCCCCCATGATCCTAACACCTTGAAGACTGAGGCAGAAGGATTGCGAGTTTCAGGCAAGCCTAAACTGCAAAGTGAGACCCTGTCCCTATCTTTTTAAAAAATTAAAAAGTTGTGTAGGTTGGGTTGGGTGTGGAACCCAGTGGCAGAGTGCATGCCCAATGCTCTGGGGTCAGTCCTTAGGACCAGAATCCAAGAAAAGCTGTTTGATAACTGTTTATGTAATTCACAAAAAGGTGTCTGGCCTTCTCTAAGGTTTAGGGAGATAAAATAACTCTTGGAATTTGATTTTTGTTGTTTTTTAATGATGGGTATATGTATGTATCTGTATGTGGGCATGTACACTTGAGGGCAGGTACCTGCAGAGGCCAGAAGACAGCATCAGATCCCAGATAACCTGGAGTCACAGGTGATTGTGAGCCCACCCAGTGTGGGTGCTGGGATCTGAACTCAGGTCCTCTGCAAAAGCAAGAAGCCCTCTTAAGCACACAGCCATCTTTCCAGCCCCTGAACTTGCTTTTTTGGGGGGAGTAGGATGGGGTGGGGAGTTGAGACTAGGCCTCTCTATGAAGCCCTGGCTTAGCCAACATTTTTATCTTTACTTCCCAAATTATGAATTACATACTTGAGCTTTAAAATTGTTAGATTGGTGTAACACAGTCTAGTGACAACGCATCTTACTTGGAAGTGCTGGGGCAAAGCTTCTTGAACACAAGACCTCCCGTCTACCAGTGAGCTGCCTCTCAGCCCAGCAGTACCTTCACCTACAACATTGAACACCAGCAGCCAGCTGTGCCTGGCAGTGCTCAGGGCAGGGAGCTTGCTGGTTGCCCCGCCCCCAGGCTGTCAGTCTGACAGCCAGGCTTTCACCAGGATGGTGGGTTCTTTACTCCCAGAAGATGTCAGTCTCAGTGCTGTTGAGAGAAGACTGTCCACACTCACCGGCGATGTTGCCTTAGAGTAATTGCAGCAGCTTGTTAGTAGGGTTCTATTCAGAAACAAGCGTGCCGAAGAAAGGCAATTTTCTAGGCAATTAAAAAAAAAAAAATTCCGGCTTCATGTAATTAAGAGGGAAAAAAACTGGCTAAATATGAGAACATCAAACACACCTGGGTTAGTGTTTTTCCTTTTCATTTTCTTTTCTGTTTTAATGATTTGGGGGAGTTAGGAAAACATTAATTAGTTAGGAGGAAGTTTCTGTTTATTTAAAATCTCAAATAGAGGCTAGAGATGGGATGTAGGTCCAGCAAATGCAAGGGCCTAGCCCAACACTGCAAGAAAACAAATAAGGCTTTCATTTATTTGAGCACAATGACAAATGTCTGTAATTCCGGCTACTCGGGAGGCTGAGGCAGGAGAATTACTCGAACTCAGGAACTCACGACAGTTCTAGGCAAATAGGTTTTCACCTAGCAGATCTTCTGTGTAGACTTCTTACTGAATAAGCTTTGAAAGATTTGTGTTGATATTAAGGAAAACCTGGATTTTAGATTTTGTTTTTCATAAGAAAATAAAGAGCCGGGCGTTGATGGCACACGCCTTTAATCACAGCATTCAGGAGGCAGAGACAGGTGGATCTCTGTGAGTTCGAGGCCAGCCTGGTCTCCAAAGTGAGTGCCAGGAGAGGCTCCAAAGCTACACAGAAAAACCCTGTTTCAAAAAGCCAAAAAAAAAAAAAAAAAAAAAAGAAAAAAAGAAAGAAAGAAAAAAAAAAAGAAAGAAAGAAAGAAAAAGAAAAGAAAAGAAAGATATGGGCCAGGCAGATCTCTGTGAGTTTGACACCAGCCTGGTCTATAGAGCTAGTTCCAGGACAGCCAGAGAAACCCTGTCTTGAAAAACCAAAACAAACAAACAAACAAACAAAAACAGAAAAAGAAAGAAAAAAGGAAAAGGAAAATATCAATGAAGAGTCTCCAGCTCTTCATATTAAAGCTGTCATGAAGTCTCTCATCATAGGTCATAGGTCGCAGTTGAATTCAAATTGAGGGTCAGACTGCTGAGTTCTGGGCTCCCAGTCAGAACAGAGGTACAAGGCTGTCCCTTCAATCCTTCTAGACTTTCATTTACTACATATTTTATTCAATACATTGAGCATACATATCTAAAAATTGGCTTTTGTCACTGCCTTCTCCAGACACAGGTCGGGTGGTCCCTGATGCCAGTCTCAGGGCTTTTGTGCACCCTGCACAGCTCTGTCTGCCACCAGCCACTCATTAACTGCAGGGATTTTCGGGTGGCTGTCTTTTAGCTGCCACTGGCTCTCTTCCCTGGCTCTGGACCTGGTCAGTAGTAATTAGATATTATTTCAGTGTGACAGCTGTTTGGTTTCTCAGCGTGCTAAGTCACTTAAGTATTGCCCAGTAGCAATTGTTGCCTAACTTGTAGACAAAAATTTTAAAAGGACAAAAAAAAAAAAAAAAAGAAGATAAGGAGGAAGTTCGCCCAACCCCTGTCACCAGTTGAATAGCTCTGCATGACAGGAGATCCGTAAACTGGCTTCTCGCCTTCACTGGAAGAGCTAGCATTGCTTCCAAGCCCCACGTGTGCAATGATGACAGAAATTTCTCATGGGTGTGAAAACTTGTAGGCACCTTCTGCCTTGAAGCCTCCTTTCCAGGGTTCCTTACAAAGGGCAGTAATTAGGGGCCTGGAACCAGCTGAAGCTGGAAAGGACTCTCAGAACAGTGTTGACCTTGGGCCCCTTATACCCTGAAGCTGGGACTATAAACCAGAAATTAGCAGACCCCTTATTCCCTTGAGAATGCAGGAAAAAAACCTTTCCCCTTCGTTCCTAGGAAGCAAGTGGGGTAATAGCAGAATCGGTCAGTAAAGGAAAGAGAAGAGGGGGTGCTTTTTTTTTATTTAAATGAAGAAATGTACAGTTCAGCTAAGGTAATTAGAATAGAGCAATGTAGACATTTAGCTAATGTGTACTGGGATGTTTCTTAACACATAGGAATATTAAGAAGAAATCATGTTTCATGCTCACACCTATATTCTCAGTACTCGGGAGGTTAAGGCAGGACACTTGAGTTCCTGGCCAGTCCATGATTTAGTGTAGAACCCTGTCTCAAAAAAAAAAATCCCCACAAAACAAATGTAGCATGTAGAGACTGCATGTGTACAGGCTCCTGTGCATGTATGTATACAGATTGTGTAATTTTTTTCCCCTAGGGACTCAATAGATCTTGATAATCCACAGGAGAACATTAAGGCCACCCAGCTCCTGGAGGGCCTGGTGCAGGAGCTTCAGAAGAAGGCAGAACACCAGGTGGGGGAAGATGGGTTTTTGCTGAAGATCAAGCTGGGGCACTATGCCACACAGCTCCAGGTGGGTGCCAATGCTGACCACACTCAGGCCCCGGCCCTGGGAGGGCTTCTCCCTTCATTTAATCTGCAGATGCCAGCTTTCTGATCCTCAGCCCAGCCCCGTAAAATCATGTGTTCCCTACATACGGTTCTGATTGGTTTTGTGGTCATGGTGTTGCCTTCTGAGACAGGAGTCTCACTGTGGGGCTGGAGAGTTGGTTCTGTGGTTAAGAGCGCTTCCTGCCTGCCTTAGGGTTATTGTCACTGTGATGAAACGCCATGACCCAAAGCAGCTTGGGGAGGAAAGGGTTTATTTGACTTACACTTCCACATCATAGGAGGAAGTCAGGACAGGAACCCAAGCAAGGCAGGAACCTTACGCAGAAGCTGATGCAGAGGCCATGGAGGGAGCTGCTCACTGGCTTGCTCCTCATGGTTTGCTCAGCCTGCTTTCTTATAGCTCCCAGCACCACATGGTCTGGGCCCTCTGCCATCAGTCACTGATTAAGAAAATGCCCTACAGGCTTGCCTACAACCCAAGCCTATGGTGGCATTTTCTAAATTGAGGATCCCTCCTCTTTGATGACTTCAATTAGTGTGAGTTGGCACAAAACCAGTGAGCACACAGCTATCCCATATCAGGGGACTCACAGTTACCTGTAACTCCAGCTCCAGGGGCTTGGACCCCTCTTCTGACCTCTACAGAAGGTCACGCACCCACCCACATGTGACATACAGATACACATGAATGAAAATAAACAATAAATATTTGTTTGTTTTTCGAGACAGGGTTTCTCTGTGTAGCTTTGGAACCTATCCGGGCACTCGCTCTGTAGACCAGGCTGGTGTCAAACTCAAAGAGATCCTCCTGCCTCTGCTTCCCAAGTGCTGGCATTAAAGGCGTGAGCCACCAATGCTTGGTGACAATAGAATATTTTTAAAAGGGAAAAAAGCCTCACTATTTAATTCAGGTTGGCCACAAACTGGAATTCTTTCTGCATCAGCCTCACTCCAATCCCAGTGTGGGTTACAGGTGTGCACCACTCCCAGCTATGACTCTTACTCTCTCCCTTGACATTTTGTTTGAAAATAATTTGAATATACAGAAAGTTGCAGCAATGGTGCAAAGAGCCCCCTACATCTTACATACATGCTCAGATGCACCTGTTGCCAGCATTTGCTTTACCCGCCTCTCTCTCAAGTTCCTCTGCCCTGCTTCTCCCCTCCCCCGACACATGCTTGCATGCACACACGCAAAAATTTTAGTTGAAAGTAAGTTGCATGCATTATATCCCTCCCCTGAGTACTTCAGTGTGTATGTTCTAAGAACATGAACTTTCCCTTCCATGGTCATAATGGAGTTATCAACTTCAGTGTGTTTAGTGTTCACATATACTCTTGCTTCAGATTCTGTCTCTATATCCATTTTGTCAACTGGCTCGGAAATGATCTTTAGGGTGTTTTCCATTCTCCTGTCCAGGATCACATATTATACCTAGTTGTCATATCTCTTTAATGTTTTATTTAGTTTGGTTCAATTTTGTGACTTGTTTTATAGTAGGATCTCCCATTATAGCCCATGCTAGTCTTAAACTTGAAGCAACCCTCTTGTCCCAGTCATCCTGCCAACCTTTTGCAGCCTTATTTTGGCTTTGACATTAACATTTTAAAATAATCACTTATCTCCTTTCCTTACTTTAGATATTTTTAAATTTTATTTTTAAAATTGTGCGTGTGTGTGCGCGCGCATGCATAAGTGCAGGTGCCCTCAGAGGCCAGAAGAGGCTCTCAGGTGCCCAAGAGTTGGAGTTACAGGTGATTGTGAGCCTCCTGCCATGGGTTAGGGGAATTGAACTCTGGTCTTCTGTAAGAGCAGTGTGAGGAAGGGTCTCATCATGTTGTCTAGGCTGGTCTCAAACTCTAAATAACTGATGCTGTGTCCTCCTGGGGTGCCTCATCCAGAGGAAAAAAGATACCCATCTTCCCCTCACTGTGATAGTAATTCTGATTATAACTGACAGGAGATCTCAATGTCCTGTCTCTTGTCTGCTATGGCCTTTTAAAAACTTGCCCATTTCCAAGAAAGTTGCTGTACTGCTTTGGGCATTAAGATTCAGAATATAAAACAGCCTTACCTTTTTACTGTAATTGCATTTTCCATGATGTCTTTTCTCATTCCTGCCCCTATGGGAGGAATAGCCCTGCCCATTGCCTCTGCCATTACCACATCTCCATCATGAGTGCTCCCTGTCCTGAGTCGGGTCAACCCACAGCATGGAGTGGAACCAAGTGATGTCTGCTGTTGTCCTCTTTCAGAACACATACGACCGCTGCCCCATGGAGCTGGTTCGCTGCATCCGGCACATTCTGTACAATGAACAGAGGCTGGTCCGGGAAGCCAACAACGTGAGTGTCATGGGTGTGGGAGCTGGGGAGCCCTCTTGATCATTCCCCTTTGGTCCCCACTTTGTCGAGTTGACCCAATATGTACTAGTGTCTCTTTTAGGTAGCTGATCTTAGATTATAACTCCAGTAAGAATACAGTCATAAAGCAAGGTGACCATGTGCAAAATAATTTAACCCCAAGCAAATCGTGTTTGTGTTGAAGGTGCTCACATCCAGGTGAGATTCCCTAGGAGGAATTTCTTCATGCCTCTGGGCCAGCTGCTGAGGGGGTGGGTCAAACCTAGTCACTCAAACAGTCAGATCCACAGGTCTTGAGCATGCCTCCCCACAGCTTCATGAGGGGCTTTGGGAGACCTTTGAGAGGTGTGGCTTTATCCATGGTGGAAGCAAATAGACCCAGACCATGTGTTTCCAACATGTCCCCAACTTAGCCACAGTAGTGGCATTGTGTCAATGAATGACTACGGAATCAGGGGTCACAATCATCAGTAGGACAACCTGGGTGACCCTGAGGCGTGTGGAGTTCTAGTCTCTCAAGAAGTGTCGCATCCTGTCTGGGACACTCTGGTGGAGGGCAGAGCTGAAGCACAAGTCTCAGCATGAAGGTGCCCTGCAGCTCACCTCTCTCTCCACAGTTTCCCTTCTACCCCGGTTCTCACACATGGCGTTTGTGGTTTCTTCTCACCTCAGAGTTAACGTTTGGGGTCTTAGCTTCACCTAAGGAGGAAGATGGATGGCTTCCTACCCACCCTCACATCCCGAGTTTCCCCATCTGTCCCTAGGGGAGCTCTCCAGCTGGAAGTCTGGCTGATGCCATGTCCCAGAAGCACCTTCAGATCAACCAGACATTTGAGGAGCTGCGTCTGATCACGCAGGACACGGAGAACGAGCTGAAGAAGCTGCAGCAGACCCAAGAGTACTTCATCATCCAGTATCAGGAGAGCCTGCGGATCCAAGGTGAGGCCTGCATCCTGGTCCAGGATGCTCTGGGGGTGGGAGTGAGGTCGAGAAGCACGCTCTGAGGAGGTAGAAGAGAACCCGGTTCCATTCTGAGCCTTGCCTGTGTCTGAGTGAAATGGAACCATTCACACTGAAGAAGGTACTGGAAGGGTGAGGCTTAGGGAGGGAGAGCGCGTGGCACCTGACAGGGAGAATGGGGGGTCTCGCTCAGGTTTCCTGCACTCAGGAAGTTTGAGGTAGCTGTGGAAGACATTTTCTTTTAAGAAGGTATTCATAGTTTAATAAATAGTATATAGAGCCTTTTCGCCAAGATGGCACCGAAAGCGAAGAAGGAAGCTCCTGCCCCTCCCAAAGCCGAAGCCAAAGCGAAGGCCTTGAAAGCCAAGAAGGCAGTGCTGAAAGGGGTCCACAGCCACAAAAAGAAGAAGATCCACATGTCAACCACCTTCCAGCAGTCCAAGACCCTGCAGCTCTGGAGGCAGCCCAAATACCCTCGAAAGAACGCTCCCAGGAGAAACAAGCTTGACCACTATGCCATCATCAAATTCCCCCTGACCACTGAGTCAGCCATGAAGAAGATAGAAGACAACAACACACTTGTGTTCATTGTGGACGTCAAGGCCAACAAGCACCAGATCAAACAGGCTGTGAAGAATCTCTATGACATTGATGAGGCCAAAGTCAACACCCTCATAAGGCCTGACGGAGATAAGAAGGCATACGTTTGCTTGGCTCCTGATTATGATGCTCTGGATGTTGCCAACAAAATTGGGATCATCTAAACTGAATCCAGCTGGTTAATTCCAAATATACTCTTTTCCACCATAAAAATAAATAAATAAATAGTATATAGAGGGTATAATACATTGTATAGAGTAAGCATTTCATAAATGCAGCCTTGCTGAATTGATAAATGGGAAGGACATCCCACTTAGGGGCCTAGAGATAGAGTGCTTGCCTAGCATGTATGAGGCCCTAGCTTCATTCCACTGAAGGAGCTCTATTTGTGGTGCCCACCATGTAGTGTTCTATGTGTTTCTTCAGAAGGGCCTTCCTATGCCCCTGTGTGCCTTACGGACAATGTTCTCTAGCCTTTGTTCTGGGGCACACAGAAATTGAGAATACTTCTAAGGGTTACGGAGCCTCACCAGCACTCCCTCTTGACCCTACAGGGAGCATTAACACTTTCTTCTCCATGCCTGCATGTTTGTTTCAGATTCTTAGAGGGGCTGGGGTGATGGCTCAAGTGATTGAGAGCACTGGCTGCTCTTGCAGAGGACCTGGGCTTGATTCCCAGAATCTACTTGGTGGCTCAAAATCATCTGTAACCCCACTTCCAAGGGATCCAATGCCCTCTTCTGACCTATGTGGGTACCAGGCATGACACACAGACATATATGTAGGGAAAACATTCATACACATAAAATAAAATAAATCTAAGAACAATTCTGAAAAGTAAGAACCTCAGAAGACTTTTGTCTCCATGCGGCCAGGCACATAGCCTGTGTCTTCTAAGGGCATGTGTGAGGAACACAGCACGTCACCATGTTGACGTTATTTACTGACTCCCAGGCTTCCCAGATTACAAATCATTGAGAAAGAACCATGTCTTTTAGTTCTGTACCCTGAGGCCCGCATAAATTCTAGTTGTGGGCTTGCCCTAGCTGTCTAATGTTGCTTTTGTCCATCCCAGCTTGTGTGTCCCTGGGGCAAGGATCAGGTCAGTGTGACATGGTTCTCCAAGGCCAGCCATGAACTTAAATGAGGCCTGCCAGTGTGCACAAATTCTTGGCAAGGTCTGAGTAAGAATGCTGGGCTGCTCAAGGGTCACTGGAGGAAACAATAATGCCAGCACTCAGGGTCTTTTTCTGGGTCTGGAGTGGGGAACAAGGAAGAGTTGCAAGCAGCAGTAATAGACATGCTTGAGCAGAGCGGCTGAGGACAAACACTCCTTCCATGCCTCTGTATCCTCCTCGTAACTCAGGATCTGTCCCTGTGTACTGAAAGGTGAGCCTGTAGCTCAGTTGGGAGGGTGCTGACCTAGCAGTCACTAAGTCCTGGGTTTGATCCCCAGCATACAGAAAAAGAGGTATGAGAGTATTAGTCTCAACTGCAGACCATTGGCTGTTGTCAGGGTTCTCTTTTTATAGATGGGAGACTAGGGCACAGGAAAGAAGAAAACTGGCCTAAGTTCAGCAAGCTGGTAAACCACGGGCCACTGGTACACACAGTCCAACGTAAAGCCCTGTGGGGTGCTCTCTGTGGTGAATGGGAGGCAGGCAAGGACTTGCTTTCCTATCCAGCACCTGCTCTCAGCCCAGGAGAGGCTGTCAGGAGATCCCTGATGAGAGACTAGAGACTGTCTTCTGAGAGAGCCCCTTCATCATGAGACACCCCTGGTTAATAGGAACCCTTTTACATCGACTTACTGTCGATGGGGTGTCTGACCCTGAGTATGGGAGATCCTCCAGACTTCCCACTGCCCTGTCCCCTCCTCCAGCTCAGTTTGCCCAGCTGGCCCAGCTGAACCCCCAGGAGCGCATGAGCCGGGAGACAGCCCTCCAGCAGAAGCAAGTGTCCCTGGAGGCCTGGCTGCAGCGAGAGGCACAGACACTGCAGCAGTACCGTGTGGTGAGTGGGTCCTGCATCCCTCTGCCCCTGGGAGGGAGCTCTGTCACCTGAGAGCCAGGGCACCAGGAAGGGGACAGAGCCAAGATGACAACAGGTCCCCTCTTTCCTGGGGTGCATGTGAGGTGGAGCAGGTAGAGAGGGCCTGTGGCTGCTCCCCAGAAGCCAGAAGGCTGCTGTGCCCTCCCTCATGCAGGAGCTGGCTGAAAAGCACCAGAAAACCCTGCAGCTGCTGAGGAAGCAACAGACCATCATCCTGGATGACGAGCTGATCCAGTGGAAGAGGCGGCAGCAGCTGGCCGGGAACGGGGGTCCCCCCGAGGGCAGCCTGGACGTGCTGCAGTCCTGGTGAGGGCGAGAGGTGGGCAGGGTGGGCAGGGGCTTGCGCAGTGGTGCCAGCTGCCTCGTCTGTCCTGTGTTGGCCCGAGCAGCAGGCTCCCATTGTCTGTGACAGCTCTCACTCTATCAATGTCTTGGCTCCTGATGGGACTTGGCTCCTCAGTCCCATGACACCTCCCCTAAGGACAGTGGTGCCTTGGAATGGGCAGGGCTACTCTTGAGCTGGTTGGTTCCAAGTTGGGGCCACCCTGTCTGCCCTCTGCGTTTGGAAAGTGGGACTCTGCTCTGTGTCTGTGCAGGGTAGTGGTGGCTCATGCCAGCACCTTGGGAGGGAGTGTGGCTTTGTTGGGAGGGAGGAAGAGTGTCATGTGGCCTCCTCCCCTGGCCTGTGCTGGGACAAAGGCCACTGTCCCTCTGAGGGCCCTGGGCTCCTTGCAGGTGTGAGAAGCTGGCTGAGCTCATCCCCCTGGGCTCTAACAGCTCTGCTGCTGTGGCTGTCCTGGCCCAGTGTGTATTGGGGACACTGCAGGAAACACCCTGGTGTCCAGCCTCCCTCACATCTGTCTCCAGTCCCCCATGTCCTCCCCGGGAACAGAATCCAGGCCCCTCCTTCCTAGTAGGCCCCACAGGAAGGTCCTCCCCTCTTGCTGGCCTCCCAGCTCTCTCCCCGGAGCCAGCATCTGGTCAGCTGTCTGGTCATTGTGTCCCCTGCAGCACATTCATCATCGAGAAGCAACCTCCTCAGGTCCTGAAGACCCAGACCAAGTTCGCAGCCACCGTGCGCCTGCTGGTGGGTGGGAAGCTGAACGTGCATATGAACCCCCCTCAGGTGAAGGCGACCATCATCAGTGAGCAGCAGGCCAAGTCCCTGCTCAAGAACGAGAACACCCGCAAGTGAGTGTGCCTCAGTGTCCCCTCTTTGGCACTCTGCTTGGTCCCTGAGATGGAAGATAAAAATTGTTTCTTAATGTCTGACCCCTGTTTTCCCTCTTGCTCTTCTGGATCTGAGAATGAATATACATACATACATACATACATACATACATACATACATACATACATATTATATATAAAGATGGTATCATTTCATTAGCTAGAGAGGGACCTGTTGGCTGAAAGTCACTTCTGTGCTTTGTTGCCTAGTTTCAGTGGCTAAGTTCCTCTCAGTGGCAGCTGTTCCTAGCAGCCCGCTTTGTTTCCCAGCTCTAGCTTGCTTTCTCTGCCCGTGTCATCTGCAGCTTGTTTTCTGTCTAATTTGCAGTGATTACAGCGGCGAGATCCTGAACAACTGTTGTGTCATGGAGTATCACCAAGCCACAGGCACCCTCAGCGCCCACTTCAGAAACATGGTGAGGACTTGAGAGAGGCACAGCGGACGCTCCCTCAGTGTCTTAGGCCTCTTCATCTCCTGCTTCTCCTTTGCAGTCCCTAAAACGAATCAAGAGGTCTGATCGCCGTGGTGCAGAGTCGGTGACCGAAGAGAAGTTCACAATCCTGTTTGACTCACAGTTCAGCGTGGGTGGAAATGAGCTGGTCTTTCAAGTCAAGGTAAAGTCCCCGTCAGCCTGTAGGTATGTGTGTGCGCAGTGTGTATGCGATATGTATCCACTGTACACAGTGTGTGTGTGTGTATGTGTGTGTGCAGTATGTATCCACTGTATGCTGTGTGTGTACACAGTATGCATGCATATTTACAGCATGTAGACCATATGTGTGTTGTGTGTATATGCAGTGTGTATAAAATGTATACAGTGTGTAAATATACATAGTACATGTGTAGCATGTATATCATGTGCATGTTTATATATTACATATACGGTATGAGTGCAGTGTGTATATACCATGTATGTACACAATGTATGTATAACGTGTATATATTGTGTGTATGTGTAGATATGTGCATACACATATATAGTATATACACTGTATTCCTATAATATATATATATATATATATATAATGTGTACAGTATGTGTGTGTACAGTGAGTTTAGTTGTGTACACTGTGTTTTCATGTAGTATATGTCCACAGTGGGCATGAATATTTACAGTGAGTATGCAGTGTGTGTACCATGAGTGCAGTGTGTGTCAGATATGTTTGTGTATGCAGTGTGTATAGAGTATGCAGTGTGTGAGTGCAGTGTTTCTGTGGTGTATATGTGTAGTGTGTGTGTAGAGTACAATGTGTGTTTGTTTGTGTAGTATATACACAGCATATCTTTTGTTTAAATGCCAAAAGAATTATGACCGTGTAGTATCTTCCTTTTTATTGTTGATAAGAAGAAATGGAGAGACTTTTATCCTTAGAGCTGTTATCTTCTCAAATTCACTTTAGGCTCAAACAATAACAAACTGAAATAGCTAGGAAGATGCCCGAAAAAATGATCACGGGAAACCACTCAGTGTGAATTTAAGAAAAGATTGGAGTTGGACTTTTTGTGGTTGTGTAGTTTTATATTTGCTTGTTTAGTGGGTTGGGGTTTTGTTTGTTTTTTGAAATATGGTCTTACTGTGTAGCTCAGACTAGCCTAAAACTTACCTTGTAGCCCAGGCTTGCCTTGAGCTTAGAGTCCTGCCTCAGTATCCAGAGTTGGGATTAGAGCTGTGTAGAAATATCTGTTTTCTCTCCTATTCTTCTTGTGCTTGTGAGAAAGTTGTCCCATCCTTCAGAATATCCAAGAAACTTCACCCACAAAATATCTACAATCCAGCTAGGAACTGTGGTACATACTTGTAATTCTAGCCTTTGGCAGGAATCAAGAGTTTGAAATCAAGCTGGGCGGTCACAGGGGCAGACGGATCTCTGTGAGTTCAAGGCCAGCCTTGCCTACAGAGCAAGTGCCAGGACAGTCAGGACACAGAAACCCTATCTTGAAAAACTATAAAAAGGGGCTGGAGTGATAGCTCAGAGGTTAAGAGCAGTGACTTCTCTTTCAGAGGTCCTGAGTTCAATTCCCAGCAACCACATGGTGGCTCACAACCATCCGTTATGAGATCTGGTGCCCTCTTCTGGTGTGCAGATATATATGGAAGCAGAATGTTGTATACATAATAAATAAAATAAAATTAAAAAGAAAGAAAGTAAAACTAAAAAAAAAAAAGTTTGACACCAAAGCTGAATATGGCAGCAGTATAGCCTGTATAGCATATAGCAGTATAGCACTTGAAAAGTCAGAAGTAAAAACAGGTGATCAGGAGTTCAAGGCCTGGCTCCATTTCATAGGGCATTTGAGGTTAGTATCTGTATGCTACATGAACTCATGTTTCAAAAAAGAAAAAGAAAAGAAACATTGAGTTGAAGCCAACCTAAGCTATATAATGATTTGAAGGTCAGCCTAGAGTACAAAGTGAGATCTTTTCCCAAAAAGGAAGTTAGTTAGCTCCTTAGTTAGAGAGCTAGATGGGCAGATTAAGTATCTTCGAGGCCCCAGCTATTGCCAGCACCATTCCAGCTCTTTGAGTCCAGCACTGAAACTGGAAGGAAAACTCAGTACTGATCGGGGAACCAGACAGAAGGGGATGGAAGTCTCGGGAATGCTCAATCCCTCTCTGCCTTCCAGACCTTGTCGCTCCCAGTGGTGGTGATTGTTCATGGCAGCCAGGACAACAATGCGACAGCCACCGTCCTCTGGGACAATGCCTTTGCAGAGCCTGTGAGTAGATTCCTTGGTCTGGGGTCTTCAGACCTCAAGACTGGTTCTTTCTCTCTCCCTGTGGGAGGCGGGTCGTTTTCCTTAGGAGACACTAGAAAATGTGGACCAAGGAAGGGCTTCATGTCCAGACAGGACTTGAACTCAGCTCAACCTCCTCCTGCCTGGTACCATGGGAAGTTCACCTGACCTAGAGGGAGGGGCTCAGAGGAGCTTCTGTTTCCAGCTGGTACCTGCAACCCAGGTAACACACTGCTCCATGACGTGCCATCCTGAGGCTATGCTCAGTAACACAGGAAATGCTCAGTAAATACTTGAATCCTCAGAGCCACCCTGGATGGTTTGGGGACTCCTAGGCCCTTTCTAGAGTTTACTTTAGCTGAGAACTCACCTCAGTCATTTGCCAGTAAATGAAGATGACATTCAACACTCTTCCTAGGTCTCATGGTCTGTGATTCATCCCAGCTCTTAGAAAGAATGACGCACTTTGTCTGAGGGACAGATATGTTGTGGGCTTAAACACCCCCAAGCATTTGTGCTCCCTCTATCTCCCCTTTCCTCCCTGCCTCTCCCTCCCCTACCACCCCCTTCTCCTCTGCCCGCCCCCCTTCCTTTTCTTTTTCTTGAGACAGGGTCTCATATAGTATCCTAGGCCAGTGTTGAATTCACTATGCAGCAAAGAACCCCTGACCTTCTTGCCTCCTCTCCCTGTGCTGGGATTCACCAGGCATTCACCAACCACGCACATTTTTTTTTTTTATGAAGTACTGGGAATAGAACCCAGACCTTTGGGCAGGCTGGGCAGGCACTCTACCCATTAAGCTACACACCTTTGCCCATGATGAACATTTTCAAAACATTTCCATGAGCAGAGATCTGTCTTGAATATTTCCCATAGAACTTAATTTACAGGAGCATGATAAAAGGATTGCTGTTATTCGGCTCATCAAAGTCTGTCCTTCTCCAGTGTGTGATGTGAGATTCCTGGCTCTCCAGCTGCCGACTTTAGAGGACCATGCTTTATTGCAAAGGCAGGGTTTTTATGAGATCCTTCCCTGTGTGTACTGCAAACCCGGAGTTTAGCCTCTTGAAAAAAGGCCGCCATACACTGCTTTCATAAGCCTTCTGAATTAGATTGCTTCGTTTCTGTCCCTGCTGTCCAGAGCGCTCTGTAACCTTGACATGCCTGCAGTGTGCAATCAGTAGGGTATCTTGCCCAAATAATATGAATTCTCCCTTTTTTGTTAAACTAATGACTAGGATATCTTAAATGCTAGCTATTTAAAAATAAATGCAGAAAGCTTGACGTGATGGTACACCTTTAATCTCAGTTCAGCACTTGGAAGGCAGAGGCCAGCCTGGTCAACATAATGAGTTCCAGGCAATTCAGGGTTACATAATAAGACCCTGTCTCAAAAGAATTAATAAATAAATACAGGGATTTAACAAATGGCTCAGTCAGTAAAGTGCTTGTTTTCTATACATATTTCCTAAAACCTGTAGAAAAAAACAAAAAACAAAACAGTGTGGCTGCTCTTGATTGTAATCACAGCTCTGGGATGGTAGGGTCATGAGGATCTCTATGGTTCCCTGGCCAGATAGTGTATCCATATCACAGAGCTCCAGGTTCAGTGAGAAAAATAAATAGGGAAGACACTGAATGTCAACCTCTGGCCTCATAAATGTGCATCATCTGCACACCGGAACACCTATACACAATAAAATATAGATATTCTATTGGGATTTTATTCTGCACAAATATTATGTGTATGTTGTGTAACAAGTGCATTAGGGCCTTGTTTGTCATAGCTAAGGGCGGGGACTGACAGATAGATTCCCATGGGTGGGGCTTGGCAAATATTGGTCTCCCTGTTGCAGAATGTTTAGCCACCATAGAAGAATTGAAGAGTTTGCAGGTGGTGGTGCATCCCTACATTCTCAGCGCCTGGGAGGCCCAGGCACGAGGATGATGAATTCCAGCCCAGCCTGGGACATAGAGCAAGACCCGCTCTTCAAAATGGAGGAAAAGGAAAGGAAGAGGAAGGATTTCTTTTTAGTGTTCAATTGGCACATTAAGACTACATATTTGCTGGGCGGTGGTGGCGCACGCCTTTAATCCCAGCACTCAGGAGGCAGAGGCAGGGGGATCTCTGTGAGTTCGAGGCCAGCCTGGTCTTCAAAGAGAGTTCCAGGACAGCCTCCAAAGCCACAGAGAAACCCTGTCTCGAAAAACCAAAACCAAACAAACAAAAAAACAACAGCTACATATTTATGGCATACATTGATTTACACGTACATTGTGTAATAATCAGATCAGGGTAACTAGCATGTCCATCTCCTGAACATATATCATTTTCTTGTGCTAAGAACATTGAGGGGCTGGAGAGACAGCTCACAGGTTAAGAGTGGCTACTGCTCTTGCAGAGGACCAGAATTCAGTTAGCAGTGCCCACCCATGTCAGGTGGTTCACAACCACCTTTAACTCCAGCTCCAGAGACTCCGTGATCACCTACACACACATACATGTACATGCACACACAGAGACCCGTAACTAAAAGTAAAGTATCTTTTTAAAAAGAAAGAAAAAAACATTGACAGTCCCCTTGACCAGGCTTGGTAACTCACTCTTGTAATCCAAACACTTGGGAGGTAGAGTCAGAAGGATCAGAAGTTCAAGGTTATCCTTAAATATATATTAATATTAAGTTCAAGACCAAATTGGGCTCCATGAGACCCTGTCTCAAATAAACTAAAAGGGGGGCTGGGAGATGGATTAGTAAAATGCTTTCCAAGTAAGCACAGAGGCCTGAGTTTTTATATCTTATCTTATACGTATTTTGTCCGAGTGTATATATGTGTACCATATTGTGCCTGTTGCCCGTGGAGGCCAGAAGAGGGCATCAGTTCTGCTGGAACTAGAGTTACAAATGATTGTGAGCTACCATGTGGGTGCTGGGAATCAAACACAGGTCCTCTGCAAGAACAGCCAATGCTCTTAATCACTTGAGCTATCTCTCCAGCCCCAGTAATAAATCAAAAAATACGAATCATAAAGCTCATGAGGAAAGGCAAGATGTGGAGTAAAACTAGTTATTCTTGAGTCTTAAGATACACTGTCTGGGGGGCTGGAGAGATGGCTCAGAGGTTAAGAGCGCCGACTGTTCTTCCAGAGGTCCTGAGTTCAATCCCCAGCAACCACATGGTGGCTCACAACCATCCGTTATGAGAGCTGGTGCCCTCTTCTGGTGTGCAGATATACATGGAAGCAGAATGTTGTATACAGAATAAATAAATAAAATCTTTAAAAAAAAAAAAAAAAGATACACTGTCTGCTGGGCGGTGGTGGCACACTCTTTTGATCCCAGCACTCAGGAGGCAGAGGCAGGCAGATCTCTGTGAGTTCGAGACCAGCCTGGTCTACAAGAGCTAGTTCCAGGACAGCCTCCAAAACCACAGAGAAACCCTGTCTCAGAGAAAGAGAGAGAGAGAGAGAGACTGTTTACATTGTTGGTTTTAATTTACTTATGCAAGATTGGCAACCACCCTCTTTTTTTCTATTTCTCACCTTTTGGGATACCTGTTCCATCCCCATATCTTAGAAGCAGATAACTGAATTTCACAAATTCATAGCTGGACAACTTTTTCTTGAATCTCACCAGGAATGACACCTGAGGTTGACCTCTGGCCTCCATATATGTGTACCACCCCCACCCACTCCCACAGAAAGGGGAGGGGGAAGGGAAAAAGGAGGAAGGGAGAGAGAGAGACAGCCCCCTCTTCTGGCTATTTAAAAACGTGCAGCATATTGTGTGCTGTGAGCACCCGACCACATTCCTCCAGGCTATTGCACCTTTGTAATCCATTGACCAACTGGCTGGCTGGAATACGAAGCAATTTATTAAAAGTTCATATGCTAACCTATTTATCAATAAAGTTGCCAACTAGAAAATTTCCACTCTCCCATGCCAAGTTGCTTCACTTTGAGCTGGAGTTCTTGGCAGATGTCAAGGGCAGGTGTTACACTTGTGGCCATACATGTTGTGTGTCCTTTCTCTCTCTGTACTCACTTAGAAAGCCAGCCTGGTTCTTCTGTTTCTTTTCTTTTCTTCCTTTCTTTCTTTTAAAAGGGTCTCTATAGCCCAGGTTGATCTCAAACTCTCTGTAGCAGAAAATGACCTTAAGCTCCTGACCCTCCCGAGTGCTGAGATCACAGGCGTGTGCCACCACCAACACCTGGCAATGTTTTCAATATCTAAACTTCCAGTGAATCTAGACCAGGAGCCACGACATGACGATACTTTGTTCTGACAACATTTATCAGAACCAGAATCAGACTGCAGGGTCAGCAGCTCCCAAGCCAACGCCCTGAGCACGAGGTGGCCCTCTAGCTGTGTTATATATGAGGACAGTAAAGTAGAACCTTATGTGTCTCAGAACGGGGCAGCCCATGAAAGTCTGAATGTGCTCAGGCTTGGCAAGACAAATCTTGCTGACTCCTTCCAGTCGTTGCTGCCTCTCGGTTGCAGCTTGAGAGACTCAGTCATGCAGCTGTTCTCTTATATCCTGGTTTCTGTCCCTCTCAGGGCAGGGTGCCATTCGCTGTGCCTGACAAGGTGTTGTGGCCGCAGCTGTGTGAGGCTCTCAACATGAAATTCAAGGCAGAAGTGCAGAGCAACCGGGGCCTGACCAAGGAGAACCTAGTGTTCCTGGCACAGAAACTGTTCAACAGCAGCAGCAGCCATCTAGAGGACTACAACAGCATGTCGGTGTCCTGGTCCCAGTTCAACCGGGTGAGTGGCCAGCCAGCCGCCAGCAGCTCTTACTTCAGTCTTTCCCAATGTTCGTCTGCGGGAGTTTCCCTGCCCTGGGCCCCCGTCCTTCATAGTTCTCATAAACTCTACCCAAAGTCACAGGAACATCTGTGTAGACGAACAGCTTGAGAGTTAGTTGGGTCTCACGTGGAGTCACATCTCTTCATGGTGTGGGTAAGCCGGACCTTGCGTGCAGTTAGCGCATTTCTTCCTTTAGGAAGGAAACAGTGAAGCAGATGTGAGCCAGACTCCTTCCCAGCTCTGTCCCAATAGCTCTGATGTGGAATGCCGGCTTAGGCTTCCAGGGGACACTCAGCCCCCTAAACGGGGGTATGGATAAAGGAAACATTTCCTCTGGCATCCATCAAATCTGTGACTGGGTCAGATCTTTGGTTTTTTAGCTAAACTTCTCCCCCAGTATGTCCTCACCTCAAACTTTCAGATGCCCTTAATTCAGAGAGCTCGTGGTTTCTGAGCCTTCTGAATGAATGAAGGGATGGTCCTGTGCTGGCAGCTGCTGGTCAGCAGAGGTCAGGGAAACAGACCTCAGTGGCCTATCTTTGCCATTGTGGTGAAGCCCCCACCTCCCACAGAACCTGGTTACTGTACTTGGCTGATAATTACTGGGAATGTGTGTGTATGATGTCAGCATCTCTGTGGCTTCGTGTGATCTAATTCAGGTCAGACCTATGAACCCATCCTGTGTCTTGCTAAAGCGTAGGCTGTGACTCATAGCAGATCCGAGGTGGGCCTGGGAAAATGTGCATTTCTCAGAATCTCCCAGGGGATACCGATGCTGTTTGTCACACACTGCATGTCAGAAATAGCCGAATCTAGCTGGAGATGTAGCAGAGTCCCCTGAGGGTTGGTACCAGCACTGTGGCTTTCACTCCTTGCTTCTCCCTTTCCTCTGTGGTCTGTCTTTGGGGCTTTAAGAGTACTTGGTAAAAGGCAGGGACATTTGCCTGCTTCCAAAAGTGGGGATGTTTGTTTTCCATCTCAGTGTCTGTATCCTGCCCTTATTGCCTGTAAGGGCACAAGGCATGATTCAAAGCTTTTCAGTTTCTTCAGAGGACTGGGAGGTCTGGGAGGCCGGAGCCAAATCTGCCTTCCCCATCTCTTCCTCAAATGTGTTTATAGAGAACCTGAACAAAGGCAATAAACCAATTCAAAGTTCAGGTTTAGTCTTCTGGTAGTTGAGTCCCCAGAATTCAGTCTTATCCTCCAGGCAGTTGGCTTTACCCCTGAGATTCCTATTCCCCTCCTTGCCATCTTGCTCTATGTGACAGAGGATGGCTTCACAGACACCAAGGCTACCGAGTCTTGTGTACCTCCTGGGTGACATGTAGAGTTAATGTTAATTCAGAACTGCATGTGAAGGATCTTTCTACAGTCTTTACAGCAGACTGTGAAGTGCCTCTGCCATACATGCAGCTGATATTCCAATGCTCATTCTGGCTTTCTTCCTGTTCCGTGTTGTCTCTCCAACCAGGAGAACTTGCCAGGACGAAATTACACTTTCTGGCAGTGGTTTGACGGTGTGATGGAAGTGTTAAAAAAGCATCTCAAGCCTCACTGGAACGATGGGTGAGAATCATCTTTACTGTTGCTTTTTTTATTAAATGTTGCCAAGACAGCTCTTGAGCTCAAGCAATCCTCCTGCCTCAGGCCCCCAAGTAGCTGGGGCTGCAGACATCTATTGAGTCAGTACTAGAACACAAGAGTTTTCTCCCTGGCATTGTTACCCTCTGCCTCTGTCCCTGTGACTCCTTCATTCAGGGCCATCTTGGGTTTCGTGAACAAGCAACAGGCCCATGACCTACTCATTAACAAGCCAGATGGGACCTTCCTGCTGAGATTCAGCGATTCCGAAATCGGAGGCATCACCATTGCTTGGAAGTTTGACTCTCGTGAGTGCCTCTCCCTTTTTGTGAAACATTTTGACTTTATGTCCAAAGGTAGCTGCTTTTGTTGAAAAACGATTTTAATACATCTTGTTGCGAGCATATTGTTTGTTGGGGCCAGTCCTAATTACAGGAATCACTAACATAACCCTGACACAGCTGCTCGTAAGGCCATCTGTGAGCAATCTTATTATGGGAAATGCTGAAGTATTTACTGCCTTAGAATGTGCAGCGGGCAGTCACAGCCACTTCCCTTTTGAAATGCTTGCCTCATTGTTACTAGCCTGGAGCTCATTCTAGTCATCCTGAACAGTAGCAATACAATAGCTCCATGATTCCCTAATTAATGGAAGGTATTGCCACTGAGCATTGCCACCCAAGAATGTCCCTTCTTTAGTCTGACCCTTACTGTAAAGCAGGACAGCTTGCTAATTTACATGTTTTGTGGTTTAAAGATTCTACCAGCTTGACCAACTCTTAGGCTTTCTTTGGCTCCAGGTGTGCTTCCTAAGAATAAGATTGGAGTCCATAAGAACTACTTATTTTCTTTATTCTATTTTATTATTTTGTATGTGGGTGTTTTGCCTGCATGTTTGTCTGTGCACTGCATGTGTTCTGTGCCTAGAGGCCAGAAGAGGCCATAGGATCCCCTGGAAATGGACTTATGGACAGTTGTGAGCCATTATGTGGGTGCTGGGAATCAAACCCCAGTTCTCTGCAAGAATAAGTGCTCTTAATTGCTGAGCCATCTCTCCAGCCCCAGAGCTATTTCTTTTAGACAGGGGAGGACTCTACTTGAACTTGCAGCCACTGAGATGTCTGACTCTCTAGGGAAGCAATGTATATATCTGCTTATGTACCGAGACATCTAAGAAGTCCCTATCTACAGCTGTGGCTATTTGGGGATGAGCATTTCTGTTGGTGTGATTCTAATAAGGTGTTTTGACTTTAGGCCTGTGGATTTTAAGATCTCACATTCAGAAATCATGGTTAGAATGTGATTGTTCTGTTTATTGATCTAGAGGAAAGAATGTTTTGGAATCTGATGCCTTTTACCACTAGAGACTTCTCCATCCGGTCCCTGGCTGACCGCTTGGGGGACTTGAATTACCTCATATATGTGTTTCCCGATCGGCCAAAGGATGAAGTATATTCTAAGTACTACACACCAGTCCCATGCGAGCCTGCCACTGGTGAGTGTTCGTCTGCGGTGGGTTTTGTACTGACTTTGGTTTTGGTTTTGTTTGAGATTTTGCTAGTATGTTTATGTACATACATGTGTATGTATGTGTACATGTGTGTATTCGTGGATGTGCAGATTTCTTCCATGCACAAGACCCAAACAGCACCCCTCTGGTGTTCAAGAAATACCCAGTGCAGATGTGAGCCCTGTGCAGTGTTTGGCAATGAAAACACCTCTGCCTCTTGGATGCCTGAAATTAAAGTTGCACAACACCACTCCTGGACAAAATAGTCCATATTTTTTGTTTGTTTTGTTTTTCGAGACAGAGTTTCTCTGTGGCTTTGGAGTCTATCCTGGCACTGGCTCTGGAGACCAGGCTGGCCTCAAACTCAGAGAGATCCACCTGCCTCTGCCTCCCGAGTGCTGGGATTAAAGGCGTGGGCCACCAACGCCCGGCTAAAATATTCCATATTATTGTAAAAAATGTTATTCCTAACATTTTGTCACAAATTTGTCAGAAAGAAATGCATCGCACACATCTAGAAGTTAGCCTCTGTAGACAGCTCGGTGGCAGTCTTCAACGGTCTGTAGCTGTGTGTTCTGTTCTCTCCCTGGGAATATGGAGGCTCCCGTCTGGTCAGAGAAAGAAAACAGCAAGTGAGTCAACAGTGACATGTGTTGGCTTAGCAGTGGATACACTGAAGAGCGATAAAGCAAGAGTGAAGGCATGGAGAAGTGGTGGGGAGAGGGCATCATTTCTTTAAAGTGGTTAGGGGAGGTCTCTGAGGAAGTGACGTATGAATAGACTTGAACAAAGTAAGGAAGCTGGCTTTGCAAAGACCTGGAAAGCAAACATCCTAGGCTAAGAGAATAAGTACAGCTGGGGTGGCCGAAAAGCTCCCCAGAGCCAGGAGGCTGCTTCCAGCCAAGCAGGAAGCTGGTGGTGGGAGCTGAGGCCAGGATACTTCAGCAGTAGAGGCCCGGGATAAAGGTCAAACCATACACACTCCTTTGTACCATGATTACACACACACACACACACACACACACACACACAGACACAGACACACACACCCTCCCTCCTCCTCCTTCTTCTCTCTCTCTGTCTCTCTCTGTCTCTCTCTGTCTCTCTCTCTCTCTCTCGTTACAGGTCAGAGCTGGGTGGGGATGGTGCACAATTTTAATCCCAGCACTTGAGAGGCAGAAGCAGGCAGATAAGCAGTCTGTGAGTTCAAGGCCAGCCTGGTCTACAGAGTGAGTTCCAGGACAGCCAGGACTGTCATACAGAGAAACCCTGTCTCCAAAAACAAAAACAAAAAGAACAAAAAAGGGAGTCACAGGTCAGTAAGGCACTCATACCAACCACACCATCATCTTCATGATGCACAGGGCTCCATTACACAGACTCTCTACTGTACTCAAGCTTAGTAATGAAGATTCGCTTTTTGTTTGTTTTTCTTTTTTGTTGTTGTTGCTTTGCTCTTTCTTTCTTTCTTTCTTTCTTTTTCTTCGAGACAGGGTTTCTCTGTGGCCTTGGAGGCTGTCCTGGAACTAGCCTTGTAGACCAGGCTGGTCTCGAACTCACAGAGATCCACCTGCCTCTGCCTCCCAAGTATTGGGACTAAAGGCATGCGCCACCACCACCCGGCATTGTTGTTTTTCTTCAGATTCTTATTATTTGTTTTATTTTCACTTATGACTGATACTGAGATAACCTAACACAAGTATCTTGTTCAACTATCTCCTTAGGATACATTCCTAAGCAGAATTAGGTCAAAGGATATATGCTTTTTCAGCTTTTTGACACACCTTTCCAAAATTCCCTTCAAAAGGCCAAATTAACTTTCCCCACAGATATTTGTTGGACATCTACTTCTCTGTCCTCTTGCCAACCACAGGATAGCATTTCATTTCTGCCAGTCTGGTTGGCATAAAAATGCTATCTCATAGCTGGGGTAGTGGTGGCACACACCTTTAATCCCACCACTTGGGAGGCAGAGGTAGGTAGGCCTTTGTGAGTTTGCGGACAGCCAGGGCTACACAAAGAAACCCTACCTCAAAAAAACAAACAAACAAACAAACAAAAAAACGCAGAAGCTACATTATAGGTATTGTATGTATTTCTCTGATTCTAGGTAACCTTTACATATGATGCTAATAATTTCAGGATAATATATAGTAGCAGCAGCTAGCATTTGCTGAATGCTTTGTTGTGCCAGGAATTTTCCTCAACATGTTTCCTGTAGTATTTGTCTTAGTCACTGTTCTATTGCTGTGAAGAGGCACCATGACCAAGGCAGTGCTTATAAAGAAAAGCATTTACTTGGGGGCTGGCTTACAGTTTCAGAGACTTAGTCCATTATCATCATGTCAAGGAGCATAGGGACATGTGTGGCGCTAGAGCAGCAGCTGAGAGCTATATTCTAATCTGCAAGCAGAGGGAGACAGACTGGACCTGGGATGTGAACCCTCAAAGCCCACATCTCCTGTCTTACGGTTTCTGTGGCTGTGAAAAGACACCATGACTGTGGCAACTCTTATACAGGGAAGTATTTAATTGGGTGGCTTGGAGTTCAGAAGTTTGGTCCATTATTGTCATGGTGGGACATGGCAGCCCACAGGCAGACATGGTGCTGGAGAAGGAGCTGAGGCAGCAGGGAGAGACTGCCACCCTGGACCTGGTTTGAACATCTGAGACCTCAAAGCCCACCCCCAGCGACACACTTCCTACTACAAGGCCACACCTACTCCAACAAGGTCACACCTCCTAATAGTGCCAGTGCCCACGGGCCTGTGGAGGCTGTTTTCATTCAGACCACCACACCTCCTAACCCTTCCAATCCTATCAGACAGTTCCACTCCTTGGTGACTAAGCATTCAAATATGTGAGCCTATGAGGGACATTCTTTTTTTTTTTTAAGATTTTATTTATTTATTATGTATACTACGTTCTGCTTCCACGTATCCCTGCACACCAGAAGAGGGCACCAGATCTCATAATGGATGGTTGTGAGCCACCATGTGGTTGCTGGGGATTGAACTCAGGACCAAGGGACGTTCTTTTTGTTTGTTTGTTTTTTGTTTTGTTTTGTTGTTTCGAGACAGGGTTTTTCTGTGTAGCTTTACAGCCTACCCTGGCACTCGCTCTATAGACCAGGCTGGCACGAGGGACATTCTTATTCAAACCATCACAGTATCTCATTTAATCCTTGGACTAGCTCTGTGAAGTGTGACTGTTACTCCTGTTTTACATAAAAGAAAACTGAGGCACAGAGAAATAAAATAATTTGCCAAAGGCCACATGGCTGGGACATGGCCAAGCCAAGCTTTCAACTTTCCTTAGCTCCTGAACCTAGATTCTTCAACCTGCATTTGTAATTTTTTTCTATGAAAAACATGTTTGTCGGGGACTGGAGAGATGGCTCAGAGGTTAAGAACTCTTCCAGAGGTCGTGAGTTCAATTCCCAGCAACCACATGATGGCTCACAACCATCTGTAATGAGATCTGGTGCCCTCTTCTGGCCTGCAGGCAGACATGCAGACATGCAGACAGAACACTGTATATATTATAAATAAACCTTTAAAAAAAAAAAAAAAAGGAAGAAAGAAAAAGAAAAACGTGTTTGTCTGTCTTCCTTATTTTCTTTTTGAAGATGTATTTTTACAGAGAAAATATACTTACCTGAGGCTGAGGAGACCATTCGGGCACTAGAGTACTTGCTTGAGTTTGATACCTACAGCCCACACTTAAAAAATATATATAATAAAAGTCCAACAATGTGGCACACATTCGGAATCCTAAGGCTTGTTGGCCAGTCGGCCTAGCCTACTCACTGGGTTCCAGGCCAAAGAGAGACCTTGTGTCAAAAAAAGAAAAAAAGAAAGAAAAAATAAGGAGTGTGGTGCCCAAAGAATGACGCCCAAGGTGTCCTCTGTCCTCCACATGCATGGGCGCATATGCACATTCACAGGCACACACATGAGCACGTGTACACATACAAGAAAATATGTAGTTCTTTATTCATATATTTATATAGAAAGTATCTTCTCTGTTTAGGTTTTATTTTCTCAAGTGCAAAGACTTGTGATTTCTATAGAAACCTAATTTATCTGCCTTTTTCCTGTGTGTGTGTGTGTGTGTTTCTGTGTGTGTGTGTGTCTGTGTCTGTGTGTGTATGTGTGTGTATGTGTGTGTATGTGTCTGTATGTGTGTGTGTGTATGTGTATGTGTCTGTGTGTGTGTCTCTCTGTGTGTGTATGTGTCTGTGTGTGTGTATGTGTCTGTGTGTGT